AAAAAAGGGGAGTAGCGGCAGGTATACCTACTCGCGAGCCTACTCGTATATCAAACAGTAAGAGTGTAAAGGAGTAATAAACAATTACACCTGTGAAATGTGTAAAAGAGATGCGGACTTTTAGGACTACCAACTTATAAATACCTTAACACTAAAAAATGAATGAAAGGCCACAATAACGAGATTTTTCACTTTTTCACTTTTCAACTTTGATTTGAAGTTAAAATAAGATCACGCACAATTTTAAATGATCCGACGGTAAGCGTGAATGGAATGGAAAAAAAATTATTTGCGCACTATCAGCCGCTTCAGACATATGACGAGTACAACATGAAATTCTTCATTCTTCTAATTATCAAGGTCACAAAATCGCGTGTTTTAAAAAAGCTTCCGCTGTCGTTTGTATTTATCGTAATAGCTTCCAATTCACAATTCACATTTAAAACTTTATGCCTTTAATTTATGACCATTTGCACCGACAAATTTAAGCGGAGCTTAAGCTAAGCACAACCATTGTCTCAATAATCATTGCCATGCATTTTAAGCTACGCTTAAGCTAAGCTTCGCTTAAACTTGTTGATGCAAATGGCCATTAGACAACTTCGCTACTGTATGCGCACGCGCTTTTTCTGAAAGTACTATAACAGTTTTTAGAGTTATCCCACCACCCTCCGATAAATTCCAGGTAGTTGAATTAACTGCGCTAGTGACTCGAGGTGAATTCGAATATCACAAAGTAGCTGACTTAAGTTTGTTTGCGTCTCAACGCAGGTTTTTCCGACACAAATATAACGCAGCCTTCGCTATATTACAGGTGAGTAACTTCATTTCGCTCGCGGCTCAACGCGAAGATTCACACACCCCACGGTGATATACAAATCGGTGACCTAACTTTATTTGCGGTTCGGCATGCATTTCCTCACAGCTCTCTGGGAAAAAAACAAGTTCGCAATACTTTTTCTTTTTGAGTAACATCCATTTCAAGACGCGTTTTTGCCCCACTCCCTTCCCATCACGCAATTTTCATGTCCTGTCGTAACGGTTTCTAGGGCCGGCAACAATGTAATGTTGCAACTCTTAACTTTTTGAACACTCGCCATTATCTTAACGCGCCTTATTCCACGAATATTAGTTCTGTTCTCTTCCATTATAAAGCGGTACATCAGTACATGTATAAAATTTCCTATACCGGCAAATTTCTAAATTTAACAGGAAGAAACTAATGCCTAAAGCGACACTGGTTGCAATATGCAATGGATCCCCAGGTCTCTCCAGTGTCCATCCTCCAAAAAAAGGCAAAACCCGATTTGCTAGGAAAAATGGGGCGACCATTTTTTTGGAACTGTGAAGGCATTCTGCTTATTTATTAAAGTAAAACGACCAAAGCGCTGTTGTACACAACAATTACAGGGACCACAAGGCTCGTCATGTTCAACCTATTACCGCAAACCGTGGCTTCACAGAAAGTATCCACGGTCCAGCCCAAATTTAACACCAATCGACATCTAAAAATCACATCTGGGGCCGCAAATTTGCCTCTCATAATGACTGGAATTAAAAGCGGAGTAGTGTCGTTTTTTGAAACGAAAACAAATCTTTTTTGAATGAACTGAAACAGGTGAGGAAACGCTTAACTACATTCATTAGTGTAGATGATAGGAACCTAGAGAAATAATCTTTTTGAAATATTTTGGTTTTCTTCATACACTTTGGTAGACATTTCTTCAAAAAACGCCCTCGTATCTACATACTTAAATGCGAAATTAATCTCAAGATATATTGAAGTACCTGCATAAACCGTGACTCAGTTTTTACACGAACTACGTGGCCGATAGTAGGGGCCATTTAGATACCTTATCTGTCACATTTCCATAAAAAAAGGCATTCCTGAGATGTTGCTTTCCAACAAAAGATCACGTATGAACGCTTTGCAAATAGGGAACATTGCCTAACACACTGTCACCATGTACACCACCCTGCACGTGCTCAGTTGTTTTTTGATACCCACACTAACAGAAGCGGTTTCGGTAAGCACTGATTACACTGAACTGCGCCCACGTTTGAGAAATACTTTGTAGCAAGTTCCAGAAGAGTTTCGAATGGATTGGGTCAGTACCGCTGAACCCTTTCGAACGGGTTGCGAGTGTGAAAGTGGGGTAGCGCCGCATTTGTCGCAGCGGGTTCTGTCATTAGCCGATTTTACCAACGACCCTTGTCTTAAGTCTTACATTTTCTGCCTCTTTACGAAATTAAACCTGATCAACCCAGCGACGTACGAAATCAGCGTAAAAGAACATGTACGTCACGTGGCAGGAGTCGACGAAATGATCGCCACCAACTGCGTAAATGCGACCAGAGGCCTCAAAGATTCGCGCGAAAAGGTTTACCAAATGAGTCTTTGTGTTGTATTTTCTCTGGTGCAGCCTCCCATTTCAATTCCTTGAGGCGCAGTGTACTAATCGCCTTTTCGGGTAGTGTGCATTTATTAATAAAAGATTTTATTTAGTATCACGCCAAAAATAGTACTGGTAGTGATCAAAAAATGCCGTTTGAGACGGATGGGCCACAATTGCATATCGTAAAGCCAATTTCATAGCAACTTATTATAGATAAAATGTGGGTTAGGATCGAAAGTCAGAATGTGTAACATACCGCAAAACCCGATAGAAGAGTACAGGCAACCATTAAAATACAAAATAAATCAACGTCTCTACCTTTATGATCGAATACAAACAAACTGTTTTCAAATAGAAACCATGGCTTATCATGTATATCATAGGCATATACATACAGTGATATTCATTTAGAAGTAGACATAAGGATTTCCTATGCCTAGTTTTAAATGACAAAACCTGCTGAAGGACGCCTAATTTTATGCAACTAAAATATCTTCTTAAAACAAATGAAGATTTTACTGTCATATTAATTAATTGCAATACTATTGCTTTGGTTTCTGTATTTTTATTTTCGTTCGTATGCGATGTAGTCAAATGAAGAAAAAGTTGATATTGTCAATTGGTATAGTGCCGGTAACAGTTTAAGGAGCGTAAGAGACTTATTTTCTTGTGTTTTCACTTTAAAATTAGTGGTTATTAAAATGCGATCCACATAAGACACTGTAAACAACCCTCAAGTTTAAGGATATGAAACTGAATGTTTTAATTTTTGTTGAAGAGAATCCCATAAGAAATTTAACGGAAACAGCGGCCGAATTTAATCTCTATTCATCATAACACTCTGTTTACTGCGGTTTTTATTATAATTTAGAATGACAATGCAAAATACGTGCGCGTGTTATTTCGGTTGTATAAAATTAGGCGTCTTTCAGAAGGATTTTTGTCATTTAAAGGTAGGCGTAGGAAATCCATATGTCCACTTCTAAATCAGTAGCACTGTATATCAACTGGCCGGCTGTGAACTGTAATTTAATCAGGAGTTGGAACCGGAACCGAAAAGAACCGGTACAAGAACCGATTGCATGTATAAGCCCCTCACTTGGAACCTAAATCGTTATTCAAATAGTTTTGATCACCGGAACCGATACAGGCAGCGTTATTATTAGTGCCAAAGAACCGTTAATTTTTCGATTTTCTCGCTGATGTAAGTAGAGTAGACACCCTTTGTGAGAAAGAAATCCGTTTTATATTGTTTTGTCATGATCAATCATTCTCATGGTCATTTTACATATAACAAAAAAAAGATATCTCATTGGCTAGAAAAAATAAGTTTTATTGGTGGAAAAGATGGTGCGAATAACCAATAACCAGTTGCCAAATTCTTGGCAGAGCAGCTTCCTAGTTCAAAACAAATATTTAACAACAACAAAAACGGTTTTCGATTAGTTACGGGAAATTTTTTATTAGTACATAATTGAAAATTGCTTTGTTTTGGATTCCTTCTATTGTTTTGTGCATGTTTTTCTTAACACATGACTCAACGCATTTTTCCTCTACGATCTTGACGCATTTTCCGTCAAGCATGCGAAGATTGGTTAACGATCTTTTCCAAAGCACTCAAAGCCTCAAAACGCAAAATTCTCATCATTTTCGTGTGCTCTTTTTTTAAGAAAAGGTTCTGCAATCGCTTCCCTTGGAACAGCCATTTTCTTGACAACGGAAATACCACGTTGAGAACACCGGTTCTCGTCCGATCACCGAGGTTAAACAACGTCCGGCCCCCTCAGTACTTGGATGAGTAACCGCTTGGGAACACCTCTTTTTTATGTTTGCTCTTGTTTATTTATTGCTTTTATTTATTCTCTTGATTTTAGTCACAGGGCAACATTCCTAATTAGAATTAATTTAGTTTTGGCAAAAAAATTAGTTTTTTAACTTTGACCAATTTTCTTAGTTTTTTTTTGTAATAAAACCTGGCATAATTTAAAAAAAAAGTTGGATGCTGTTGTGGCGGTCCAAAAATTTTTTTCAAAAATCCGCCCCGTTATTTTCCGTTTCCGTATGCCTAATGTATCTACATATCCAAAATTTGAACCGAATCCGGCGAGCTGTTACCTCGGAAAATTGCCAACATACGCACATACATACACAGATGGAAAAAATGTCTTAAAAAGGTTCTTAATGATCTAAAACGTCGACATTTGATGAAATTTTGACATGTCCAAAAAACGGTGATCACAATAGCTACCCTAGCTCATGCTAGGAAGCTAAAAATAATAGTGGGAATTGGGTGGTTGGCAGGGAGCCGTGAGGCAATGCGCGTCAAGTCACAATCAGGTTCCCGTCGAGCCGTAAAAAATTTGGATTCAGACGCGGGGTAATTCGCTACGTGAACCGCGAGAAAATTAAGGTGAGGGTGATCAGAAAGAAAAATTAAGTCGTATTACGTTTAAATGCTTAGAAAGAAACATTCAGTTTTATAAATTAGATGTTGAAGTTTTATTAATTCTATTTAGATATTTTTATGCCTAGCAACCCTAGTGTTTCGGCCAACTATAAATTAAATTGAATACACAACATTCCTCCCTCTTTACAAAATGAAATCTAATTAAACAAATTGTGAACTGGTGTAAATCGGAGAGGAGCGCGTCGTGTCCGTTCCGACCTTCTTGGAGCTACCGGTGTCACCTGGTCTCTTTTAGTCGCGTCGGCTCTGGCAGTTTCCTGCGCTGGTGATAGAACTGGGGTAGCTGTTCCCAGAGTGGGCTCGGCGGCCGCTGGCGAGTTCCTTTGTTGGCCATGAAAACGAATACGTCGCAATATGGGCTCTTCAGGCGTTGTTTTTCGTTGTTGGTCGACACCTGTTTCTTTGATATTTTCTGCGAATATTCTAATTTGGTCGATATGACGTTTCACCGTTTTATCCCCATGTTTAATTTCATAGTGAAGATCTCCGAGGCGAGCAGTAATAACTCCTGGGAGCCATTTGTCCATGTTTTTGTTTCCAGATAAGAAGTACACATCTTGTCCAACGTTTAGTATGCGGAAGGTAGAGCTCATGTTTGCTTGATGTTTTTGGGTGACTCTTGTCTGGACATCGTCAGGTCTTGTCAGGTCAAGACGAGTTCGTAGGTCTCGCCCTAGGAAAAGTCGGGCCGGTGGAAGCATCGTAACCGAATGTGGAGCCTTCCGGTATTGACGAAGGAACTCGTTTAGGTTGCTCCGGAGCGTTTCTTTAGTTGTTTTCATTGCGTAAAGCGCATCCTTCACAGTTTGAACGTAGCGTTCTGCTTGCCCGTTTGTAGAGGGATGGTAAGGTGCCGACAGTTTGTGATACTTCACGCCACTATTTCGTAGGAAGCTTTTAAAATCATCTGCGATGAACTGCCTACCATTGTCTGACACTACCGTAACTGGCACACCGTATGCCGTGAATAAATCGTCCAGGATTGTAATTGTGGCGGTGGCTGTCGTGGAAGTCGTAGGTCTTACTTCAAGCCACTTAACCTCTGGCGCTTTGAGACCATGTTGGGCCAAGTTTTGGCCTGTTTCTAAAAGTTGAATAATTCGGCCGAGATGCAAGTCTTTTCTAGTTTCGCGGGCTATAGTTTCGGATTTGACAGGGAGCTGTTGAATCTGATGAATTGTGAAAAAATCGAAATCGTCAAACCCATCTACCTCCTCCCTTTCTGGGTAAGGCAACATACTACAGAAATTTTATTCCAAATTTAGCAACGAGGGAGCGACCTTTACGAGATCTGTTACTACAAGAACCATTTTCGTGGACATCGGCAGCAGAAAAGGCATACATAGACATCAAAGAAGCACTGACGTCACCGCAAGTACTTATGCTCTACGATCCATCTCTTTCCAAAAAGAGTTTCCCTGTTATCATCTACTATGTAGAGGTTAAGTTTCTTACGTGTAGATCCGATAGTTGCATTGACTGTCACTCGTCCAATACAATTGAGGTCATGACCGGTGTAGCTGACAAATCTACGGTCGGATTTTTGTAAAATGAAATTTGATTTGATTTCATTCAATTTCAACTGGCTCATAATGGAGCAGGGGGCCCCAGTGTCCAGTTCCATCTTGACTATTTTACCCTCAATGTTAACTTCGAGCAATAATTTTTTTAAATGCAGATACTGAACTAATCATTTCATCAAGATGCTGTATGACATCTATTTGTTCTGCTGGGAATTCATCTTCGACGATTTGATTAGTTCGCTGAGGATTCCTCGACCCTGACCTACAAACAGTGCTTATGTGGCCTTTCTTTCTACATTTGATACACTCGGCGTCCCAAAATGTACATTGACTGCGGGTGTGTGAGCCACCGCAACCTGTACATTTTGGTTGGTTCATCTGAAATCCTTGGTTGGTGTTTTGCGATGATCGATGGCTGGTGCTAGGTTCGAGGTTGTTTCTCCGAGATTTTGGTTTCTCGAACCCTATCTTATTGGTTATTTCAGCGTTCGGTGTTTTTACTTCGTTAGCAGTGTTACGAGTAACCTCAAGCGAATGTGCTATCTCATAGGCTTCTGAAAACTTGGATGGTTTTTTTTCAATTATTTCGTCACAACTTTCTCGAGATAACAGACCGTGTAACAGTTGTTCAATAAGCATCCTGTCTAAAAATGATTCGTACTCACAGTGTGCAGCGGTCTGGCGCAATCGGAGTGAAAAACTGGCAACTGATTCACCCTCGTTTTGTTTAACTTGTCGGAATTTAATGCTTTCCGCGTACTTATTACGTGTCGAATCCAAGTGATTACTAAGTGTAGTCTTGATCTCATCGTAAGAGAGAGTTTCTGGATTAACCGGACTCACTAAAAATTTCAAGGTATCATTCAGTTCAGATCCCATATAAACACGAGCGTAGTTTGCGTGTTGGTTTACAGGAATTTTGCTCAGTTCTAGAGCCCAGGAGAAACGTGTGAAGTAGTCCTTGATAGTTGTTCGTTCCACTGAGCTGTACTGAGATATCGTGAATGGAGGTGGTCGTCGTTGAGATGGTACGATATCGTCGGTGTTATCGCCGCTGTCACTAACGGTTGACAGTTGTGCGGCGCGGTTGAGAATTCTGGTGAATGCCCGGAGAAGTTCGGGGGAGAATTCTTCCATGCTTAACGACTACGAAGAACTTACAGATTGTTCAGTCGTGAATTAGCACGAGGTACCAAATTGTGTTTGGCGATTCGATTGTGGATTAGCAGGAGGTACCAAATTGTGTTTGGTGTTTGGATCGTGCTTCAAAATTTATATACGTTTTTCTTCTTCTTTTTTATCTTCTTGAGTCAATCCCACTTCTGACACCATTATTACGTTTAAAGGCTTAGAAAGAAAGAGCATTTTTTATATTTTTACTATATATATAGTTTTTAATTAAATGTTGATAGTTTTATTATTCTATTTTGATATTTATATGCCTAGCAACCCTGTGTTTCGGCCAACTAATAAATTAAATTAAATTACACAACAAGTTCGGTTACTAGTAGACTCACCCGTATGTCGGCAATGGCGGTTATTCATCGCAGTTCGATTTTAATGTGTTTCAAATTTTCGTTTGCCTAAGATACTCTAGCATCAGGGAAGTGTATCACGGAGTCCTGGTTTTTCTTTGAAAAGGAATGTTCTGGTGCAGGTTTAAGGGGGCCACTCTCCCAGCTTTTTGCGTAATTATCATTTGTAATTAAATTTTATGAATTAGTCGTTGGTCTATGTAACGGAACGGGGATTATTTGTGTCATACGAGAAAGCGGTTTTTATTTTATTGAACGTAAAATTGGGTCGTTATCTGTTATCAATTGTAAATGCTTAATTTAATTGACAGGTGGATGTGACTTATCGCCTTTTCTGTGTAGTTAAGAGAGATGAAATTTTATTTTTTCCTAGAATTTAAGTTTGGATTTATCTCTTAATGTCTGATAACAAATGGATTTATAAAAATTATTCGACCTCTATTTTTTGGTCTATTAACTTACGTTGAGAGGATAGTCTTTGTTGTCAACTGTGTATGATTTGTTGTTATAATTTTGATTTTCGGAAGAAGGGTTTCGCCGTAAATAGGACGTCAACAAGAAAAGCGTCGCTTTTAGAGACAGTCAACGCAGAACTACGTTGCCAGAGTTTACGCAGTTTTACGTTTCGTCTAATGCGAGTTTGAAGTTTAAAGACGTTTCGTATATAAAGCCGGAATTCGCGGAATATTATTTGTTCTACGTTTTGAAGTTTGAAATTATGGCCATTTAAGGTGCTGCAAGGAGAAGTGCTTGTCGGCGCCTCCATAAGTGTGTTGTCAACGTGACTCAATTTGAACTTGAGTTTTGTTTTAGAGCGTCGTTGTCTACCCGAAGAGAAGATGCTACGATGACCCGGTCGTTAGTATAAAGTGTGTTCATTGAAAATTGTTTTTGTGAACTGTGTAAAGATACCTTTTATTTAGATATTTCAATTCCCGGACAAGTAATGTTAGTAGTGAAGTCTTAATTTTAGTCTATTTGTAATAATTTTTTTGTACCATTTTCCTTTTGCGTGTTAAGATTAAATCGCACTTTTGTATTTTTCACATTAATATCCATGTGTTTCATTCACACTTTTCTTTTCTAATTTACTGTTGTTTTTATTGGATGCTTGTCAAGGTTCATTTTAATTGTGCAACATTTTGCGATTCAGTTTGGAGTTTAAGGTATTTGATTTGACCCACTATCTGTTAGAATGTTAACTGAGAGCAGAGTCGAATCTCCTCTGTATTGGGGAGAAGTTTTGTGCCGTGAAAATAAATAAATGTAAAGAGCTACCTAGGATTTTGTTTCGGTGTTTTGCGTACGATCTTTCTGACCTACGGACCAGTGCACACAGCAGTTTACATTACAAATTTTGCTTACAGTTTTTCCCCATACATGTTTACACAAGAATCTGGAACCTCAATATTTGTAGCTACATCAGCGGTTTACACGAATTACAACAGAATCAAGACTGAGTAAAACTGGCACCACAGGCTAGGCCATGTAAACCTCAAGGATCTCCAAACAAAGCTCAAGGAAGGGCAACATCAGGGGTATGAACACCGAAGCAGCCTGTAACTTTCCGTTTCTGCGTTGAATATACCTTATAGGAAGTGACTGAATGCGCCTTTAACTTGTTAAAAGGGAGTGTGAGATCCAAATGCATCAAGTTAAAATTGCCGAAATTATTATCTAAACGTATTCACGTGAAAGGGATTTGGCCCACCATAATCTAGGTAAGCGTATTTTTCATGTTGCCGTTATTTACAATATATTTCATTATTATAGGTTGTTATAGGTTAGTTTATATCACATGTTCCTGGCAAAATTGAAGTTGATTAAAAGAGGGATTAAAGGTTAATCGTATCAGCATATGTTTTATTTCCACATTTAAGTTCCTATGCCGGATATCATCTGCACCGAAACAGTATCGTTAACAAACCAGGGCAAGATGACATGAACTCCGTTTTCTGTATGAGAGACGTCAATGTCAATATCAATATAGCCAGTAATACAAACTATTAATGTCTAAATTGTGTTTAGGTGTAAGTATAAGTACATGAGATATGTTGCACCGCAATCTGAAATTACATGCACAATAGACCATTTAACTGATAATGCGAAATTAATCTCAAGATTTGTCTAAGCAGCTACATAAACCGTGACTCAGGTTTTACACAAATTGCGTGGCCGATAGTAGGGACCATTTTGATACTTTATCTGTCACAATTTCATAAAAATAATGCCTTCCAACAAAAGATCACGTATCAACGCTTTGCAAATAGGGAATATTGCCTAACAGACTGTCACCATGTACACCACTCTTCACGTGCTCAGTTGTTTATTGATACCCACACTAACAGTAGCGATTTCGGTAAGCACTGATTCAACCTGCCCACGTGTTTGAGAAATACCTTGTAGCAAGTTCCAGAAGAGTTCCGAATGGATTGGGTCAGTACCGCTGAACCCTTTCGAGCAGATTGCGAATGTGAAAGTGGGATAGCGCCGGATTTGTCGCAGCGGGTTCTGTCGTTAGCCGATTTTCCCAACGACTCTTGTCTTAAGTCTTACATGTTTTGCATCGATACGAAGTTAAACCTGATCAACCCAGCGACGCCGACGTACGAACTTAGAGTAAATGAGTACGTACATCGCGTGACAGGAGTTGACCATACGATCGCCTCAAAATGCGTAAATGCGACCAGTGGCCTCAAAGATCCGCGCGAAAAGGTTTACCAAATGAGTCTTTGTATTGTATTTTCCCTGGTGCAGCCTCCCATTTCAATTCCCTGAGGCGCTTCTACTAACCCCCTTTTCGTGTAGTATTCACTCTATTAATTCTTGAAACCGTTTCGGATGAAGGGGCCACAACTGTATACCATAAATACTATTTCATAGTAACTTAATTAAAATAATAGAATTGGTGTGATTTAGAACAATCGTAAGAATAGAAACCTTGGCTTATTGTATATCATACGCTTTTATATACACTGGTCGTCTGTGAGGGTTGGAACCGGAACCGCAAAGAACCGATACCGGAACCTATTGCATTTATAAGGCCCTCGATTTAAACCGGAACCGTTCTTAAATAAGTTATGATAACGGGAACCGATACCGGTAGCGTTATTATTAGCGCCAAAGAACAGGTAATTTTCGGTTGCCCTTTTTAAGAGGAAAATCAGTTTTATATTATTGCTCTTAAAATGTGGTCATCAATCATGCTCATGGCCATTTTACGTATAAGGAAGAAATGTGGGTGTGTAAGCGTAAATTTTGCCAGATTCAAGCAACATAAAGTATTTCAGGGTGACTAATCGAAAATATAAATCATCGAACCAAAAACAGTTACGGGGTTTAAGAATGTGTGAAGTGTAACGGGATCCTGTTAACGAATTCATTTTTCCTAAATTGTTTCGATTTTGTATGTGGGCGAGTGGTTCTTGAATCTAGTCTCGACTGCTTAAAAGCGTGTGAAAGCTCGTGGCGCCGAGAAATCGTAGGTTGCTTACGGGACGATTTTGAAAGAGTCGCATCCGTCGTAATTAAGCTTACTGGGTAGCGTGTTGTGTGTTGGTCAACGTGATGGTACGTCCTAGAATTTGTGTGAATAAAAAAAGCATAATGGTGGGAATTAGGTTGCTGGTAGGGATCCGTGAGGTAATGCGCGTTAAGCCAAGATAGGCTTCACGTCGAGCAGTACGAAATTTAGTTTAAGACGCGGGGTAATTCGCTTCATGAACTACAAGGAAATTAACATGAAAGCGGCCAGAAAAGATTAAGTCGGTCAGTGGTAGATTTACACAGAGTGTGGTTTAGACATTGTGCCAAATTTGCGTGAAGCCACCGTGTATTTATGACAGGGTAGCCACCGTTGAGCTACCAGCAGTTAAATAGGCCACTAGTAATCTACCACGATGTTATATTGTGACAAGAAAGTACCATAAAGCTGTTACGTTTTTTCTTGCCAATTGATATTCCTCATTTAAATTCCATTTAAGTAACATGCGAGGTGTTAGCTAGGGAATGCAATACCGGGATCGCGGGATCCCGAAATACCGGGATCCCGCAACATTTTTGCGTGATTGATCCCGCACATAAATGGAGCGGGATTCCGCGGGATTTGCGGGACTGAGGAATTTGTCGACCAAGGGGACGACTCCGTTTGCTTTGTTAATGAAACGCATAACGGAGAAATTATGTTTAAAATAATTGTTAAACTTTTTTCGTTAAAAATGAACTATGATTTTTGAGGCACTTTAGAAGTTCACCTTTTTGTGCTTTAGAGGTGAGGTTTTTTTGAGTTCTAAGTTAGGCTGAAGGTACTTTTTTGTTGAATATTGTGATAATTAGCGATTTATTTTAATACAGAAGTTAACCGCACAAAATTGCCTATTTGCCAATTTATTTAAAATTTTACGGGATCCCGCAAATACCGCGATCCCGCGGAATTAACATCTAACGATCCCGCAAATACCGGGATTGAGATTTTGCTGCGGGATTGCATTCCCTAGTGTGAACTAATATCCACGTGCTTGTGGAAGTCTACGATATCTCAGGTTTAGACCACATTTAAGTCAGTTACACGGTGTACGGGTGTGTACCTATGTAGAACCTCGA